GTCTTTATTCATTCCAGGCCAGCAAAACCGTTCTGCTATAAGCTTGATGGTTGCACGAACACCTGGATGAGAATGTTTGTGCAATGTATTGAAGACATTGCGTCGATAATGTTTCGGCACGATTGGGCGATCCCTACCCGTAGATGTGTCACAAAGTAAGGTTTCGTTACCTGTTCCCATCTGTTTGATGCATAGTTTAAGGGTTGTAGACGATAACTCGTGCTGAAGATCACTGTCTTCTTTTTGAAGCTCGGTGAGTTTAAGAAGGTCGATGCCTTGGAAACTGTTCAAGGAAGTTATGCGAGATAAAGCGTCTGCAACTACATTGTTTGCTCCAGAGATGTGTTGAATGTCTGAAGTAAACTGCGAAATGTAGTCCAGTTGTCGAGACTCACGGGGAGAGTACCTGTATGAAGGAGAGCTTAACGAGAAAGTGAGCGGTTTATGGTCCGTGAAAAGAGTGGATTCACGGCCTTCGATATAGTGTTGGAAATGTCGTACAGCACAATACATAGCTAGGAGTTCCCTACCGAATGTGCTGTACCTCGATTCGGTGCCTAGCAACCTTCTAGAGAAAAATATCAAGGGTTGCCAGGAGTTGTTAACCCATTGTTGTAAGACTCCTCCGATTGCCGAGTCGGATGCGTCTACTGCGATGCTAATGGGTGCTCGGGTGTCCTGATGTGCGAGCATTGTTGCTTTAGCAATCAGTTCCTTAACTGTGGAGAATGCTTTTCGTGCGGTGTCGTCCAAATTAATGGATTTCGCATTTCCACGAAGTTGGTCGGTTAGCGGTTTCATGAGTAATGCGCATTTCGGTATGAAACGTCTATAGAAGCTTACCAGGCCGTTAAACGTCCGTAATTGCTTGACGGTGGTCGATTCTGGGTAATCCAGAATGGCCGCCACTTTGGTTCTAAGGGGTCGGATACCTTGAGCATCGATAGTGTGTCCCAGAAAGTCTAATGAGTCGGTTCCAATTTGGTATTTCTAAATTTTTACAGTAATGCAATGTTTTTATGGTCGTTCGAAAACAAGATCCAGATGCTTGAGATGTGATTCTCTGTCCGGACTTGCGATTAGACAGTCATCAACATACGCGTGTACGAAGTTGAGACCCCGAAAAACGTCGTCTATTAATCTTTGGAATGTTTGAGCAGCATTCCTTAGACCGAAAGGCATTCGCAAAATTCATAGAGTCCGAAAGGAGTTATGATAGCTGTTTTCGGTATGTCGCCAGTAGCCATAGGGATTTGGTTATACGCTTTAACCAAGTCGATTTTCGAAAAGACAGTTGTACCTTTCAAGGCAGCTGTCAAATCGTGAATGTGAGGCAACGGGTAACGATCGGGAATGGTTTTCGCGTTCAATCGCCGATAGTCACCAGTTGGACGCCAATCGTTGCTGTCCTTTTTAGGGACCATGTGCAACGGAGATGCATATGAGCTACTTGACGGTCGTATGATTCCTAAGTCCATCATGTGATCGAATTCGTTTTTCGCTAACCTTAGCTTTTCAGGAGCTAGTCGTCGTGCTTTAGAGAATACAGGTGGTCCTGTAGTCGTGATGTGATGTGTAACATTGCTGGTTACACACGGTAATCTCGGTTGCGTTTGTTGTATCCCAGGGTACTTAACGAGTAGTGGTTGATAAAGTGGGTCTATCATGCGCTTAATTGTGACTGGGGATAATTTGCAACCAGAAAAAGAAGTTACGCAAACGGACAAATTAGTGTTTCCGTCTACTAGCCTCCGTTTGCGCATGTCGATGATCAGATTGTGCTACTGTAGAAGGTCCATACCAATGATTGGCATAGAAACATCTGCAACAACGAAAATCCAGTGGATGGGTTTGCATAAACCCACGTTAAGGTAAACGTACCTTTTGCCATACGTAGCGATCGGTTTTCCGTTTGCCGCCTGTAAGTTTAGAGCCGATTCTTGAAGCCGGTCGTTGGGATTCGCTGGGAGAACGCTAACTTCTGCGCCAGTATCGACGAGGTAGCGAACTCTCGTTGTCACATCTGTGACGTACAACAGACAGCTATGTTCGCTAGCTACGGTTGCCGTTAACGCGTGCCGGCTTGGAAGTTTCCCGAATTGCTTTCCGAATCAGTCGGTTTCGTGTTGGGAAAATTGCAGGGTTTTCTGCAATTTCTGGAAAACTTTCCATACTGGTTATGATACCAGCACCAGTCGGGGTTATCTGTCTCTCGTGGTCTAGAGACAGGTCGCTTACGAGAAATGCTTCTACGTGGTGTGCGCGATCTCTTACGATCGGTACGAAGACTAAGATAACGCGTGAGTGCGTGACATAAGTCGGTTATATCATTCTGAGTCGTGTGAGGCTTTTCTTTGACTGAGAATACCTCGGTGGTAGAAGGTTTCGTAATTTCTAAAATGCGGTCGGCAGATGCAGCTAGCTCGTCTAAGGCGTTGTTCTGGAACGAGACCAGAACTGCTTGCACCTGTTGGGGAAGTTTTGACAGGAAGAGTTGTTTGAATAGACCTTCGTCGAAAGTTCTTATCTCTCTCATCCGTTGCAACATGTCTGTCGCAGAACCGTGTTTCAGGCCTGTACAAGATTTTTTTGGAATAAGACCCCTAGTGACACCTCTGTTGAAGCATATAGTCCAGGTTATTTCAAACCACATGCAAGCCATAAATTTGTTTCCTCCGTACAGTTTCCATCAGAGAGTACTCACACCCCTTCCTCCTGGGTAAACTCCCCAATCAACTTCACTAGCTCATTTGATACATCTCTCACTAAGTCTAGCTATTAAAATACCGAGCTAATGAAGAACATCCAATCCCTGACATCAAACTCATCTCACACCCGCGAGGGTTACGACGACTTTATCCGAGATACCCTCACCCATTTTAACTAAGTAGGCCACTTGCTTAATATATGTCTTATCAACGCTCGATCGATCTGCAACAAAAAGACGAATTTAGCCCTGTTTGTATCCATATACCAACCATCAGTTATTATGATATCTGAAGCATGGACTAACAGTAATATTTCCGACCGAAGCATATCTCTAGATAACTATTCCCTATATAGAAGTGATAGATTGAATGGACGAGGCGGAGGATGCCTTATTTACGCTCACTCTAGCCTAAACTCACTGCTATGTGATATGCCTGAACTAAACAAACTGAAGGACTCGGTGTGGATTGTATTAAGGCCGTCGAATTCCGTTACCTTACTGCTCGGCTGTGTTTATCGTCAACCTAACGCATCAATAGATGAAATAGCAGTATTATCGGAGGTATTCACACTAGCATCATCCCTCTCATTCACAGGCAAGCTCATTTGTGGTGACTTCAATATGCCCGAAATTTCTTGGCTGCCAGTCAAAGCGCCGAGACGCTATGAATCATTTATTGAATGTCTAGAGCTTGGACAATGGACTCAGTATGTCGATAGCCCTACCAGACATCAAAACATCTTAGACTTAGTCTTTACCAGTGGCCTCATCCCCAATACTTTGTATATTGGAAAAAAGTTCCCAGGTAGTGATCACAACATTGTCATATGCAGCCTTAATGTAAAAACCACAACCGATAGAAGTAAAACCGTAACACTTCGTAGAAACTACCGCAAGGTTGATTGGAATAACTTCCACAATTACCTAAGAAGCACTGATTGGAGAACTTTCTTTACCTCAGACAATACCGACACATTAACCAATATATTTTATCACAACATCAAAAGTATCATCAACAACATCGCACCTTTAGAATACTGTAAACCTACGTTCTCCAAAGATCTGTATATAACGGTCAGTACAAGAAGACGTCTTCAAAGACATTGTACTCGATTCCACAACTTAAATGACTTTTCCTCTTTAGTAACGATGACAGAAATACTTGTCCGAACAGAGGCAATAACTAAACAAAAAGCAGTAGCACAGGAAAAACGTGCAGTTGAACTTAATAATAACTCCTCTGCACTCACCATGCTACTCCAAAATAAACTTAAACGCTCTAAATCGAGAGGGAGTATATTCATTAAAGGCAAACAAGTATACGAAGATCCCAAACTTATCACAGAATTATTTAGTGAATATTTTTGTTTCTCACTAACTAACGAAAAACCATTTAATGATTCAGAACCAATCCCAGTAACTCCCTGTGAAATTACTAATGTAGAATTCAGTGTACAAAATATCTCCAAGGCAATCAGTACATTGAAACACTCCTACACTGATGGACCAGATGGTATTCCATCTAGCATGCTAAAACGTGGAGGTGATGATTTGTGTTTTGCTTCTCAAACTATTCGCGATATCACTCTCTTCAGCGTGTTACCCTACTGCCTGGAAAACTACACATATCATTCCCAAAATTAAAACAGGACCTCAAGCAAACGTTGAGAATTACCGGCCTATAAACATAACTTCAGTGGTATCCAGAGTGATGGAAAAAGTAGTTAAAGCGGCTGTAGTCCAACATCTACTAACTAATAATCTCATCTCGACCTCCCAGCATGGATTTCTTAGGTCCAGATCATGCGATACATGCCTAGCGGACTACCTGAATGATATAACTCTGAAACGAGACAGCGGACTCCTTGTATCAGTCCTATTCCTAGACTTTAAGAAAGCCTTTGATAAGGTCCCACACAAAAGGCTACTCGTCAAACTAAAGTCCTTCGGAATACACAGCCCACTGTACTCATGGTTTGCTTTGTTCTTAACAGAACGTAAACAGATGGTAAAGTACAATGACTGTCTCTCGTCCCCTAGACCAATCACCAGTGGAGTCATCCAGGGAAGCGTATTAGGTCCACTTTTGTTTCTTATGTATATAAACGATATATGTGACACCAGAGAATTTGGGAAACCATACTTATATGCTGATGATCTCAAAATAGTATACAGCTATAAGCCTGAGACACTAAGCGAAAGTGTATCCCAGATCCAAAAGGACCTCAATAAATTAACTATATGGAGTGAAAAATGGCAATTACCATTTAACCTCAACAAGTGCGGGATCATGCACTTTGGGAAGCATCCCTATAAACCGCAACTTCACTTAAATGAATGTAGTGTCCAAACACTCGAATCAGTACACGATTTAGGAATTAACTACACAGGAAGCCTGAAATTTGAAGAACATGCATCCTCTATTATTTCTAAATCTAGACGGCTAATTGGTTTTATAATGAAAAACTTTTTCACAACAGAGGGTAAACTTACTCTCTACAAAATATGTGTACGACCCTCCCTTGAATACTGCTCTTTTGTCTTCTCTAATATGAATATCGCAGACAAGATAAGAGTAGAAGATGTTCAAAGACGTTTCACACATCAACTACTAGGATGTAACTCGAATATCGATTACACAGACAGATGTAAGCATCTATCTTTAGAACCTTTATGGCACCGTAGGCTAAAAAACAATTTAATATTTCTCTACAAAGCGACATATGGGCTCTCCTTTCTAACCTCCTGCCCGACTATCACCCACGACCCAGCCTATAGACTTAGAAACAACGCATATACACTACTTACCGTAAAACACCAAAAACAAATGCGTTGTAAGTTCTTTACAGTACGGTATAGTTTATTGTGGAACAGGCTGCCAATGCCTATCCGTAACTGTGATACGTTTACCAGATTCAAGAAGCTAATAACCCTATTTCTAGACTCCAAAGAGCTTCAATATTTCCTTGAACTCCCGCCCACCGATGAGGCACTTTATTACGGACCGCCTAGTATCTAGAAAGAACAAGATTATAACAAGTTCGACTGTTACTAATACGAATATAACCAAATCACAGAATATATGGCTTATCCTTTCCTATTATTCATTGTTTATTAATCATGACCTTATGCTCCTAACCCTAGCTTTCAGTTCCCAAATCTCTACAGGTTAAATGTACATTCTTCTTCCTAAAAGTCATGCTTTTTTTTCTACTGCAAGTAGACAGATAGCTCAATCTTATGGATGCTGATCTACCAAGGCCGATCATACAAAGCCCAAAGCCACAAAGTCTTGTGAGTTTCTCAATGCTTTATTTGTCTTACCCTGAAATTTTTTTCTTCTACAATTTTATACCCTCTCATATCTTTTGATTTGCTATTAGCCCTTACTCCTTTTAACCATTAGTTATTTTCATAGCAGTGTGGTATACTATATGGACATCTAACCCAAAAAAAAGACTTTCCAACTATCTGATTTGCTTGTAACATGGACCTAGTAGAGACATTGTATTCCAACTATGGGCTTTGATTAAAGCAGTATTCATACTTACCACAAACGTAAGAGAGCCTAACATCACAAAAGGAGGGAGGGTGGCGTTACTGACCAGCAAACATGATGGTGGAGAGATAAATTCAATCCACCCATGTCTGTAGTGCAGAACATTTTGTTTAATTACGGCTCCTTATGATTTAGTGGGATGTCACGAACTTATGGTATTGATGCTGATTTATCACGCAAAATACCTCTTTAAATCGTGTTACGAACGTTGAATTGGTTTCACTTCCTACCCAGTAATCCTATTACAAGCAAACTAGACAATTCGCGAATATACGAAGCCTACTCAAGACCCTATAATACCTGAAAAAAATAATAATACGAAAAAAGGGGCTCTAATAGCTTCGATAAAAAAAGGAAGACAGTCAATTGTATGTCACAATACTGTTTCTAGCACTATATTTTATTTTATAATCACACATAACCCCATACTCTCAGCTCCTTTCCGAATCGCCTCCATTTGTCAGTTGTATGTCCACTCACACCTTGTTAACACTTATTTTCTTTAACCTATTAAAATGCTCGTTCTTAACAAATACCTTAATAAAAGAAAATTCGACTGAGTAATCATACCTTAAACATTTCTTCATGAATATTGGCTATTCTGCCTCTCGTCTTTTCTTTTACTTGCTCCCTCTTTCAGCCCCCTTGTGATATGGAACGAAAGATTTTATCCTGCACCATCCTCAAAGCCTTGGACGTTCCAAAGGGACATAAGGTTGCGACATTTAGAAGCTCCCATCTTTAATGGACCTATCCTTGACCATTAGTTGCACATTCGCAACGCAACTTTCGTGAAGCGCGCCAACTGTAGTACTGTTTATAACCATCTACATTCATATCTTATAAATTATCAACCCAGCTGTGTAATTTACTACAGTGGATATTGTATCATTTGTATCAATTTGATCTTGCCTGTAAACTGGCATGCCTCATGTAACAAACTGTTATTTGAGAATAAAATTATTATTATTATTATTATTATTATTATTGAAGAGTTGATCTAACCTTTGTCGATCGGTTAGGTCTCCTCGTTTAAGAATCGAGCGTTTTAAGATTTCGTAAGGATCGGAAACATCACTAGTAAACATACTAGGTGTTACGTACCTGTTGAATTCGGGCGGTAGTGTCTTGACTACTGCGAGGAATTTTGCACGTGTGTCGATCACGCCGTGCTCGGAGAAGTCGGCTTCTGCGTAGCAAAACCAGGCTTCGATGTTGTCGGGCCAGAAAGGCATGAGTTGAAACGAAGGCGGGGACAAAGTCTTAAGCTTGAGTACTTTAGGTGTCTGTTCAGTCATGATGAAGTATGATCATGAACGAGGGGAAAATATATATATCCAAGAAGAAAATACGAAAAAAAACCACAATGTTTAAAAAAAATAAAAAAATAAGGCAATGATATGTAAAAATCCCAAAAAGGAACAGACTCACAGTTGCAATTAGGTGTATCAGATCACGTCGGTCTCACCAATGATAATGTCACAGGTATTCAGTGTTTGACAACGCTTCTACCAGTAACACCTTCTAATGTATTTCGTTCCCACCCAGAGAAATCAAAAGACAGATTCGAGGAGGTCGGAAGAGTATATTTGGCGTTGACCAATATATCGGAATTCTCTGATCTAATCTGGCTAGCGATTGCGGTTGATGTTGAGCACGGCGTTACCACACGTGATCTGGTGCGGATGCCTGACCGAGCGCCTTCAGCTAGATGAGTCCACTAAAACATATGGTCAGCATCCAATGTCGAAAACTTACAGAGCTATTTATTTTGGGGATTTATTTGCCGCTACATATTGACTTTCGTACGGATTGGTTGGAGAATCCTGGTTGGTTGCCTATGCTTTACGAGGCGTAAAAGGAGTAGGCAAGTACTGGAGATTCGTGAGACGAAATATTAATTGTTTAATTTCAAGTTCTCCGATCAATATTAGTTAGTAATGTAAACTATAACCAAATTTTCATCCTTCCCACGAAACACTGCATGAAGAGTGTAAAATATTTAATTCCCCGATTTTCGGTAAAAAAACTGTTACCATTCCATAAATGCTGCAACATCGATCGTTAAACAGACATGAATAAAATGTTCTTTCTCAATATGCTAATAAAATTATGCGAAAGGTAAGGTAAGAAATCAACAGAAAAAACGAACATATATATTCACAAATTTTTCTATATACAATAGAATGCATAAACGAAGGGAACATAATATTGAAGAAGTGAATATTTACTCTCATTCATACAAATCAAAGTCAATACGTGTGATGTTATAGAATTGTCCATCAGACTTCGTTGATTCACGTATTAAAATATTGTCATCGTCATTAAATGTTCCATCTTGAAGCCACACTTTTAATTGTTCAGATGTGTATGGTCCTTCAATTTCTGTATTTGGTTTATTTGAACGTTTTAAATGCCACATGACTGAGGTATTATTATTACTGCCATCATGTTCTTCAGTTGATTTGATTCCACCTAATAAGCATTTTAGAAATTTGAACATGAATAAGGTCAACTATTTTACAAAATCAACCATACAAGGAAATTAGAAATTGATTGAAGCGATCATTCTTTGCATAGTGTATTTGATCTCAATAATGTTTCTGAGCCTTATGTACAGGATATATATCTTTAGACTAATACGACAAGTTTTATGGGAGTTAATTATTAATTCCACCCAAAAGACAACAAAGTATGTTCTATGCTTACTACAGATGTCATACAATACTTGACTGACACTAGACATTAAGACTTGTCATCAGAATTTCCAATAACTAGTTGACATCGGCGACAGTCATAAATACAATTTTGAAGATGATCAGTACCAACTAAGTAGACATTGAAAATTACCCACAGATTTATCAGAAATTCCTATTTTATATCCAAATATGAAACTTAACCAGTTTTACAAATCTTATAGGTTAATACAAGTTATTAGCCACATATACATGTCGACAAAACAGAAGTGTGACTTTTTCGTGCCCTAAAGTAACCCTCGTGCTATTGATAGAAGAAACCAGACAAGTAGCGAATAGGTCTTTATTTCGATCTCGGTGCGGTCACAGTGGAGCGTGGGACTATCTGTTCAGACAAACAAAGGCTCTCAACATTCAATATAAGATAATAGGGAATATAACGCTTATACAAAACAAGGAAGTGAATGAATACTTGAACAATACTGTTTTGGCATATGCTTGGTTGTTTGGGGTCAACTCTTAGCCAACCAACCTAAGCTGTTACATTAGCTTCCCCTTAGAATCGACTTCCGTAGGAACGTCGGTTCGATTAACCTAACTATCGAAAACACCCTAGTTCTATTTCTCATCCCAAGGGAAAATTATCAACTCGCTCACTGTTTGACTTACAATCAGTGACGACTGACGCTGTCAACGATAGTCCATGGATGTCTCTTCTTTACTAGCTTGTCATCTTATTTTGTAGCATGTGATTTCTTCTACAACTATCGCCGACGGTTTGCTGCATGCTTTCAAGAGAAAGAGTGTGAGAATGTGGAATAAGAATATCTGAGGAAGTGCCGCGAGCGGGCTACCCAACACCATGTTGGTGAGGTACGATTTTTCCATGCTCAGACCGGCTATCAGGTGTTTACTCACCTGCCTCTTGAGTCGCCCTCAAGTAAAAAGTAAAGAAGAATCTACTTCAAAGGTAATGGTGAAAATCAAGAAAACCTGAAGAACTGCTCCACTGCCTGCATAAAATAATAAGATACAAAATGGAAATACATAAATGTAACTGATAATTGTTCGGTTCAATGTAAGTGCTTGGTCTCCAGAACGGATTGGTATTCTGGAAGAGAATAGACATAGTGTAGATATCTTGTGCACGAAAAACCATGAAAACAAAAAAAATACTCTTTTGTAATGCATATATGTAAAAGGGTGAACTTGCTAGAAGTTGGGCTCTTTAACAAAATCGATCAAACACGTGACCTTGAGCCTGTGACGACCGCCTTTTGTAACCAGGTACGTAACCAAGGGTGCATAATTGTACTCCACAAAACGGAAGAGAATATACGGTTAAGGAGGAAAAAATTGTGTAGATTATGAGGATTAAGTACAGTTGTGTCAAATACTCTTTTCTGGTTTGATCTAAGTATTTATGATATATTGCAGCAATATTTCGTTAATTCATCCAAGTAACGAATTTGTCTGCACCTTAGAAGTGTGTAAGTCCTATTACTCATTAGTATTATATATGACTAATCGGTAAAAGGAAAGATTACAGTCATTTCACGCGCGCTATTTAAAAAGGACAGTTGTATTTTTCCTCGCTGAGTAAATTTCATTGTTTTGATCGTTTGTTACGTATCAAGACTACTGTTTTTCACTTTAATTGAATTTATTTCAGTTAAAGTATTCGACTAAAGTATCGTTTTTACTGTTTTGTCGTTGGTACTCTTTAGTACCTCTTTTTCAACTGTATCTGTTAGTACTTTTGGTCCTAGCAATCTACAGCTCTTCACTTTTTTTTGGTCATTGATAATTTTTTTGTTTCTGGGTATCATCGCATATTGAAAAAACCCCTCCTAAATGCCCGGACAGGGTAAAAAAAGCAGTTGCCAACGTCCGGGTTGTCGTTATCCTGTTGAAAGCGGCATGCAGTGCGACGAGTGCAAAGGCTGTTACCACGAAGTTTGCACGAACTTAACGCCTTCTGCTTTCAAACGGTTCAGTAAGAAGGGTTGTGTGTGGCTTTGTCAACAGTGCTGCTCGGATGCAAACAGCTTGTTAACCGAGGCCATCTCACTGGTTGATGCTGCAAAGAAGTGTTTTAACAAGCATAGTCGGAACGCGTCAAACAGCACTCGATCTGTTGACACGCAAATCAATGTGAAGGAAACTAAGGTGAGTCCGGTGATAGATGACTCACGCCCGTCAAAGAAGGAAAAGCAGTCTCCAAAGGGGCCTGCCTTAAAAAAGCTCAAGAAAAGTAGGGTCTTCTGTTCCCCGTCTCCCAGATGGGATCTAACAGGAAACACCTAGGAGCCGCAATCGCAAGGCTCGATCGGTTTCAAATGGTAAACATAACACGACCCCTCAGGTCGTCGACAACCCCCCAAAACCCAACACTAGGTTTGACGCAACTGTTATTGCTTCTACCAGCACCGTTGACGAATGGGTAAAGGTTGTAAGGAAGAAAAGTATTGATATAAAAGGGAAACCTGCCCCCGTAAAAATGGTTGAAAAATCGAAAGCTGATCATAGCGACAGATCAGCTATTTTTCATAGAATTAAGGAGAGCGATAGCTCTGAACCTAAAGCTCGTTTTGAGCATGACATTGTACTGATTAGGCGGCTGCTTAATCAACTCATGCCTCAAAATATGACTGGGGTCACCTTGCTAAAGG